TGTTCACTATACATTATGCGTCGTACTCTTTTGTTGGTTCGCTAATTTTTAGTTTACCCACCTTCCACTAGATTTAAAGCGACGTTTTTTTTCTTTCACCATTGTACACAGTAGTCGTTTGCAATGTTACAGTATTTCTTGTCGCAAAGAAGACTTTCATTAGGACACCACACGGTTTCAAGGCATAGTCAAACTTTAACTGGGTAATGGTCGGACATATTACAATGGGGTTGAATATACGACAACTTCACTTTTGAAGGGAATGATTTTTAGATGAGAATGCTATCATGATTTAACCAAGTAACACTCTGTAGTGTGAATATGACGCAATATGTCTACAAATTTAAAACGATGCGCAATATTTGAAAGTACATTAGAAGAATGTGCGTGTGGCCCAGCGCTGTCTGCCGTGTCTAAATTCAATTAGTAGTGCAATTACAGTTTCTTTTTAATATACCAGTTCGTTGAATCTTCTATCTAAAAGCAGAGCGAACTGGCCCACTAGTTTGTGAATATACATTTATTAAATTATCGGAGTGCTGTCTAATTCCCACTGTGGCCATGGTATCAAAGCGAAGGGTTATTATTATTAAACCATACCTTACTGTCCCCCAAAAAGAAAGTATATAATAGAAGCTAGAGAATAAATGCTTAAAAATCAGAGTGAAACAAATTCATTGAGAATAAAATGTTATGTAGTGCTTCATACGAATGACATTATGCAAAGCAATTATTTTACTTTCATAGAACAATTATCACTGATTGTGATATATGTTGTTTATTAGATAATTCATAGAATCAATATATTACTGGTGGAGTACATATTATAACTATCTGAAACTCAAACATGCTTACATTTTTGTGCAACTTCATTGCTTGTTATTTTCTTTTTTGACTTTTGATTAAATATGGCGAACTTACGTAATTTGGGGGTATCATTTAACATCTTCCAGCAAAAACTACCAATAACGTAAGCATTGTCAAGTGAACATTCAAGTGAAGCGAGTTTGGCTACTCGTCTAAACTTTCTCAAATCTTCATTAAAGTCACCGTCATAATTTTTAATTCTCTCCCACAATGAACGATTATAATGTTCGTATAAAAGCATGTCTGCTCGATTCCATTTCCGGATATTTGCTTTCATAACTTGAGTAAGTGTGTTTCTTTTTCTACTTCTCTTTGTGATGTGATATATCACATCATTGTCATTCCAACACATATACTTTTTCAAAACTACTAAAGATTCATCAAAATGCTCCAGAATTATGACAAAATCAATTTCTCTGTCTATTCGTTTGATTGCGATCTGTATACTCGTAACATTATCTTGTCCACTTTCTTCAAACAAAGAATTTAAATACCACATCTGACCATTTCGATGCTGATGATGTTCATCCGTGAAATTAGTGTAATTATCAAGGTTTTCAATGTATTGGCGAAATGGATCAGGATATTTGAGTAATGGCTTAGCGAATTTGAAATAGTAGAATGCTGATGGAAGTTGAGTATATGGTGATCTGAGAATAGTTATATACTTAGCATCTCGTATTATACTATCCATCCAGGTTCTATTGTAGCGTAAGTGCATTGCCATATAGTCAAACCCTGTAAGGTTTGTACAACTGAAATTTCTAATATTGTATGCTGCAGTATATAGATGATGTTTCATCCCGTATCTGATAAATATATTTGCTGTCGTACTACCTCCTGTTTTCATCGTCTTTATGAAAATAAATCGAGTTACTGGTTTGCACTGATAGTTAGATGTGTTATGACTGATCATATACAATTGTTCTTTAGAAGTTTCTGTCTGCAATACAAAAGCACATTTTAATATTAACACATAGTATATTATATAACATGATCAATGCAAATTTAAAAAAAATAAAAAAATAAGTGATCAAGTATTAGGTTAACTATTTTGCTAAGTTATATTTTGTAATTTCATTAACGAAATATAATAATTCAGTTGATTTAAACTAAACCGGTATATTAATACATTATAGTTCGAATGCACGTGATGCACTTACATGTTGAAAGAGCTGTTGATTGAGTCCAATGTTTTGTCCAGTAAGCCGCCCACAACAGGGATAGGCAAGTGCAGCGGGTGTGTACCCGATTTATATAACCACACAACCTCACAAAAGCAAAAATAAATGAGAAAATGATGGGCCAGAAAATATAATTGACGAGCCATTTGTGAAAAAAGCACCATTCAAAACAACATACAACAAAGCCACGCACATGCGCATTAAATTATGATGCATGTCTCTCTGTATTTGTCACTGAGTGCGTTTCATTTTTCACATGAATAAAATCGCCTAGGTTTCAACAATAACCAATAGTTATGCTGCAGTAAGCTTGACTTGCTCAAAGCATAGTTGTTAACAATTTAGTTATTAATCCAATAGCAGAGGTTTGAAATAATGTTAATATGCATAAATCACACATTTTTAATGAATGACTTCATGTAGAAAAATGGAAGAATATTTATACGCTTTTGTAACTGTGCAATATGCTTATATTGTAAATTTGCCGACTTTTCAAGAATGGTGTGCGTTCTGATATTGTAAAAAATTATAACAATGTCAAAATACAATGAATATGAGGCCAATTTCGATATTGGGAAATCAAATAAAAATAAGAACACTGATTTTTGAAAGCAATGGACAATAAATCGAAATATAGTACTTTTTATACTTAATGGGGCAGATGTTAAGAAGATAGGCCGCACATGGAAAGAACTGGAGACGCTGGCTCAGGACCGCTCTGCCTGTAGAAACCTGGTTGACGGCCTATGTTCCAATAGGGGCGATAGGCGTAAATAAAAAAATATATATTTAATTACTATAGTGTTCGCGAAATAATTTTCCCGACAAATGAACTAGATATTGATAGCTAAGCATTGAACTACCTAAAACTTGAGATGTGTCCAGAGGTCCAATCATGGTATACTGAGATTATATGTAGCACTACTCCTTACCGTGAACATAGCCACACATGTAAATGCCCTTCGCCAATACTAAAAGCGTACGATCATCATCGTGTGTAAAGCTTAAACAGGCTAATTTCAAATGATCCTTATTAAAGGATTGTTACCCTAATATTATTCACCAATGAACTCATAAACAATAGTTAAACTACGCAAACTTTATATTTGTCAAGTTGATGATTTGTTGGTACAAAGGTAACTCAAATCTTGCTTTCAGGATATCTCCATTACCATAGTATTAGCATGGAGGTAATAAGAAAGTAGATAGGATCGATAGTTAATCCTTTGTTCTCGTATTTTTACGCTCTGACATTGAACACTGCGATGTCCATCCTCCGACACGCCCACTGATCCTTTCATGCTAAGCTGCCATTTTTAAAATTGTGTGGTCGATGCTAAATGTCAACAAGGTCAGGTAGTTGGTGGCTTTTAATACAGGACATCGAGCTCTAAACGTTGCTACCATAAGCTTGAAAATTGAACAATTTTTTGTTATGAAAGTTATGAAAGTTTTTGAAATTTGCACTACCCAAAAACTTCACAATTGCAACCCGTTCTTGCTATTTGAAGATGAAATCTCCTAATGAATATTTTTAAATTTCCAAGAGTGTATTGTTTATACACATTGAAACATGACCAAACTTTGTGTGTCTCAGTGTTTCTGTCAGTTGTTATAGTCTGTTTATATCTGTCATTGCCATTAAGAAGCGTGTAAACGTGTCAGCAAACGCTGGAAACCTTAACTTTTTGTGAATTCAATTTAGCGAGGATCCTTTTGGTTCCTAGTATTTTTTTACCTCAATTTAAATCCAAGACCCTGGTCTTTCTGAAAACCTAAATTTTACTCTGGTTTGGTGATGGCCAAAGTTGTTATTGCTATTTCCCCCCTTTAATGATTTATTTTTGTAGAAGGTGCAGTTCAAAATGTAAGGCGTGAGCACTTTATTGGGCCATAACAATTGGAATAATATTTTAAACATACAAATTGCAAATACAAGTTCATTTATATTAGAATAAGATGCAAATTATTGGGAACAGTGTCATCTTTCTACAGTAATTATGGCATGGAATAGTCGAAAATGTGGGCATTTCCAAGCATGGAGGAAACCATCAAAACTGACAATCTTCTGAGGAGCTGCGACCAGTTTTGTCAATTGACCGACTGGTCCAATAATTCGTAAACATAAGGAAAACAGGCACCTTGTGTGTTTGAGGAAGAACAAACTATTTATTTACTGTTTTAATACTTGTAATAAAACTTCTTTCAAAAGGCAACATACGTGTAGTCTTTATTTTGAAGGTGCAGAGTTGTTTTTTGAAGCTTTTTCACCCTTTTTTGAAAACTTTTTGATCATCTTTTCCTTTCAAATACATAAATATACTAGCAAATGCCCTGTATCATATATCCACACTATACAATTCACAAGAATAAAGGTGGTGCAATGGATTTTTTTTAACTGATTGTGTTAAATATACGAACCACTCAATTTTGATCATTGTAGGTATGTGCCTTGCTCATATGCAAGTATATTCAATACGTCTGGAAAACAGAAACACTTCAACATTAGCATTGAAAAGCCCACCCATATCCACAGATTTGATCTATGATGTAGTATAATGACAATACAATGCCATGTGAAGTTTTACCACTGAAACAAGGTTCATCCACAGTCTCTGTATATAATCCCATGAACATTTACACCGTTTATAATGCGTTTCTCATTATCACATAACGGATTCGACGAAGACAATGGAAATCGTGTTCGCAAATTTAAAAAGTCGTCACAGAGAGGACGTACGAGAAAGAAATACCCATTTTTAATGAAATGAATACTGCGTTTAGTAATGTTTATTGTTATGTTTCAAGGGTTTGTAATTGGTGATAAACAGCGTATTCCGGAAATAACGCAGTATATGACGGTAAATAGAACAGGAATGAGACTCGGACCACACGATCTCCATGGTTGCCGATGACTACGTTTACTATCAAACCATGCGATGAAGGTCCAATTATGTGAATCAGTACGAATTAATTTACTGGCTTCTTCGTGGCTATTTACAGTTAATTAAAAATGGAAAATTCATGTCGTAACCGTGTGCCCATGTGCCAGCCTCTTGGATAGGCTAAACCGTGATCTTTGTTTTCTCTAAAATTATTTTTTTTTCAACATCACTACTAAATCTAGCCTTCGCAGTCAAGTTAAAAGTAGGTAAACAAATGACTAAATATATTTATTTTGTTCCGTATCAGCTCCGTTATAAATTTTGTCAATGCGTAATGCCTGTGTAGCACAGATCTGTATTCTATGGAAGATCAGAAAACCAATCCTGAGACGAAAAGATAATAGAGGGACTGTGGTGGGAAAAAACTTTGACTGGCTCGTTATACACTTTTGTTTCTATGGGTATTAGGGCTATCAGGTTTTAATTAAACTTGATGGGCGTATCAAGGCATTTGCGAACGGCAAGTCTGTGGTCGATAACTAGTATAATATCTATGATCTGGGATTCTGTTCCTGGATTCACTAATTCGACTGATTCGCCCAATTGACTAATTTGAATACTAAAATTGAACACGTACCGCGAGTCAGGCCGAGATGGCACGTAAATACACCCTTGGTGGTGAACCCCAATTTAAAAAAAAAAAACATATACTGATTAATACTAGTATGACATTGCGATGAATGGAAGTGTAGATAGGTATGGTCGGATACTGAAGTAATGAATGAATTGAATGCAGACTGATATGGTATCATCTGCCGTATCTATGTCGAATTGGCTGGTTCCCGCCTCAAGTGTCATGGCGTACCCAGCGATTACGGTTACGGAATTCCGATAGGTCAATAAATTTCTCATTCTTTGTTCTATTTGCCTTGGTTACCAGACGTCAGCGGTTACGTTCGCGATCATTTTATATATCCATGGAGCTAAAAAGAGAGCTCCATGATATATCACAGTTGCTTTATTCATGGGCGGACATCCGTGCATTTTCAGCCGCTTAACATCCATCACGGTGAAAACAATAGTCGAAAACTCTTAGAAAATTGTATTTTGGGAGAGTTATTGAGACTTTCCTGAACAGTGTACACAATATTATCCCTACATGTGCATCCTATATAAATTTAGAACGTGACTTAGCTCCGTCCCGCACAATATATTATAGTTGATAGCCGGACTGTGTAAGAATAAAGCAGGGGGTTCATTTTACTCTCGTGTATATAAAACTGTTTCATTTTGTTACACAAATAACGTGAAACACCAGAACCATCTCAAATAGGAGATTTAAGCAGGCAGAGTGAATGAGAGTGGTGTTATTGCAATATTACAAACATGTTCATGCAAGGGAATCCGAAACCAGTTAAGGTCAAACAACTGAGCCACGATTAAGGACGTGGTTACTTTACGAACCCAGTGGATCATTAAAAACTCGTAATAGGGCTAAAATTTCATCAGTTTCGCCTACAAAATATTGCGTTGATGTTAATTATAGATTAAAACTATGCAGAATGACTTTATCAACTATGTGTCAACTTGTGTCTTTGAAAGAACTCGGAATGTTAATTATCTACATTTGGGCTCAGACAACTAATAAGCAGACTGGCAACGCCTATTATTTAAGGTGTTAATCGGCTTAATTATACATGCTAAGAGTGCACGCTTAGTTGTACTGGCAGAGACACCGTCAAAGTTCACCGAAACCAGTTGTACTGAAAACTTTGCGCTTTTTTTTCGTGAAACATTACCGGACATTTTTTAACATCTAGAGATGCGTTCAGAACATTTTGACCTTTGCAGCTTTGTAAGATTTTTAAGAATCGCTCAACATTTAGGCAAGTTACAAGTAACTGAATGTCTTAGTATATGCCTCAAATAGTTTTTGTGTTATTGAACATAAATGAGGAACTTTGAACGATATTTCTCGCTGTTGCAGTTTTTTTGGGAAGGGCATATGGCAGCGTTTCGAGCGATCATACCACTTTGTGTGTTAACAATTTTGTTTTTGTGTTCAGGTGTGCCGAAATATAGGATAGCTGGTGTCACATACATGATATCTTCCAGCTTATCAACGTGATCCGATTAGCGGTAAAAAATGGAGATGTGTTATTTTTGTCGCGTTCGACTTCATAATACGCGATATATGCGTTGTTCGTAACTATCGTCCTCAGATTCGCTAAATTCTTCAGTAAATGCCATTTTCGAATTTACTGTCGCCTGTGTCACTTCTTGTGTTTTGGTCTCGCGATAGCTGATTGGAATATGAATAAATCTCGCGTTGATAATCTAATGACTATCTTGTTGCTCCACAACGTTAACTAGAGATGTGGCACGCATTACTTCAATAGAAAATGCCGCGTTACCAGTTTGTCTATTAATTATCTGAGATCATGGCTTCCAAGATATTCAACATTTGACATCATTTTTCTATAGCACATTCAAAACACAATTTTTTGCTGAAAAGAAAAATCTGCCTTTGAAATACAATAATACTATTCCATTGCGGTGTTTGAATGAATGAATGAATGAAGTGTATTTCACTATAAACAAATATACATATAATAATATACAAATAAATGTGATATATAAACAAATGAGTAAATAAAATTAAGTAAAATAAATTGGAATTTTAAATATATATATAAATTTAGATATTTATATAAATTTCTCATAGTGAGGATCACGAAAATAGTTTTCTAGAACTAGTCTAGTCCATACCTTTTGTAAAGAATGAACACAATAAACACTAAGTTATATACAGGTATATAGTTGTACATTTAAATAATTGAATAGACTCAAAGTTTTAAATTAAGAGATGAAAACAAAAATACCTGAAAAAAACTTAATGACATAAAGTCTGAAAATAACAATAAACTTACACAAAAATATATACATACAAACATTTCGTCCTTTCACTGACTTGGGAGAGTTTAATTTGGATTTAAATGTGTCTGTTCATTTCATTTTTGATTGTGTAGGAAGA